TCCCCCCCACCCCTCCCCCATGCCCACAGTCGTGTGTGTCAACTCCTAGCCACCTGGGGCTGTCCCGGCTCGGGGAGTTTGGGCAGTCTGCTCTCTGGGCATGTTGGGCCAGGCTGCTGCACTCCTCAGCTCGGACCCCTCCCTTGCCCACCACTCTGCCTGGCTTCAGTCCCCAGGGGACAGTTGCCACCTCCCTCTGCCAATGCCCTTTTCATTCAGAGCCAAAAGTTCAGTGAAACTGTAAGCTTCAATAAAAGGATGAACTCTGTTCCACATTTTCCACCATGCCTTCCCAGCTACAGGTTTATGTGCTCATCTGTTCAGTCACTCATTAATCCTTTCATTCAACAAAGATTTAAGTATCTACTGTGTACCACGCCACGCAGAAAGCAGCAGCAGAGGGGGCATCGTCTACATGAGGCTGCTGTCACTTACCAGGGTGAAGTTGAAGGATAGGGGGCTGGGCTCAGCTCAAGAGGCCAATTATGTGTTTTATAACTGTTTTAGGGCTGGCATTCTGGCCTGGACGCAGCCACTCCAAACTTTACAGCCTGGCCTTTTTATTATCTCAAGCCCTGGTTTTATCCTCCAGACAAACTGCATTTATTAAGTCATAACTTTCCCCCGTGTTTATTAAGCACAGACTGCTGTACTGGTCTGCTGGCTCTTCCGATCAGCACGATAACCAGTCTACACTGAATGTCCATAGTGAGCTGACAGAATTTCAGTCCAAAGCCCAAACACCAGACACCTGGTTTGCCCGGGGGACCTTATCATGGGTGATGGTGTGAGAATCCTTTTGCTTTGGGGGGTGAAGGTAAGAACTCCCAAGCCCTCGGCGGGGCTCTCCTCTGCAGTGGATGGTTGGGGAAAGATACAGCTGTTTGGCAGCTCAATGAGGCCCAGCAGGTATGTCGGCCTGGGCAGTTCAGTCCCATTCTCTGTAGGTTAGAGTCGTAGAATTAGATGCATTCCCAGAGGCCAGCCACCGTCCAGAGCTCGAGCCCCTCATGGCCCCCATGTGAGTCCAGCCTCTGCTTGCCAACCTCCAGTGACAGTTCAGTGCCTGCCAACCCTCTAGATGCCTGGAACCTGCCACACATTCCCCCCAAGTCCTGGGCTCTTCAGCTTTTCACTGAGCATCTCTCGCCTTGTCATCCTGGTCATGTCCCTGAATTTTCTCCAGTTCATCATAAGGCTCACATGGCACTGGGTTCAACCAGCAGAGAGTAGGGGAAGCTTCTGTTTCTTTGTTCCCACCGAGCCAAGTGTCTACTGAAACCCACCTTTAGAACGATGCCAGTCATATCCGCCTTGTGCTCAGCTGGGGCTGAGGAGCCCAGGACCCAGCTTGGTCCTTGTGGGCACAGTTGGTTCTGAGTGTGGGGCCAGCCCTCACACCTCACTCTGCACACTGCACTTCCAAGCCTGGATCCTAAGGCCAAAAGGAGTGTAAAATGGGCAGGACAGCCCAGCCCAGCTGACCACAACTGCACATCTGGGGAAATGCCCACAATGTGCAGGGCTGGTGAGTCATCTAGAGAGCAGGTGACGGCCCACACCTTCCACGTGTCCTGGTGATGGCTGCGAGGAGGGGTGCTTACCATTCCCGGGCTGGGCCCCTGGCAAGACCATGGTTTTGCCCCACTTCCTGATGGGTGAGGTCGGAGGGGGGCTGTGGCTTTAATCAGGTTAAGCAGACCCAGCAGTGCACATGGCCCGGCCGGCCTCTGCCAGGTGCCTCCCACTCCTCAGAGCAGCGCTTCAGTCTGTGCTCCACCTCCTGCCCTGACAACAAGGCGCAGGGCCCCTGGCAGCCCTCTAATCATCTCGGTGGCAGGCGGAGCACGTCCAGCCAAGTCTGTGGCTTTCCCTTTATCCTGTGAGTCCTAGTGAATAAACAAAGCCCCGATATCCAAGAAGGCGATGATAATGGGAAGTCAGTCTGTTCGCTCTGCTGTCTGCACACACCCCCCCCCCCCCCCCCCCCCCCCCCCCCCCCCCCCCCCA